TCTTTTTGAGACAGGGTCTCCCTATACAATTCAGGCTGGCCTTGAGCTCACTTTGTAGCCTACGCTGGTCTTGAACTCGCAATGATCCTCCTGCCTCAGCCTCCCGAGTGCTGGGATTACAGGCGTGCACCACCATGCCTGGCTGGGCTTGAATTTCTGATCTTCCTGCCTCAGCCTCCCACAGTGCTGGGATTATAGGCTTGTGCCAACACACCTGGATTATCTTTTTCTTTCTAATTTCTGAGTTTCTTCTCTTTTTTCTTTTCTTTCTTTCCTTCTTTCTTTTTATTTTTAATTTTTTTGTCTTTTTGAGATAGAGTTTTGCTGTGCAGTTCAGAGTGGCCTTGAATTCACTTTGTAGCCAACGCTGGCCTCGAACTCACAGACATCCTCCTGCCTCAGCCACCTGAATGCTGAGATTACAGGTGTGCACCACCACATCCAGCCTCTCTTCTTACTTTGAAATATCTTCTCCATTCACAAATTTCCACAAATATTCTCATACATTTTACTCTAACATGTTTATTGTTTTGTTTTTTACATATAAATCTTTGTCAACATTTGACACATGGTCTTTGTTTTGTTTTTAGTTTTTTGGTTTTTTGATACAGGGTCTCACTTTATAGTCCAGGCTGGCTTTGAACTCACTATGTAGCCCAGGCTGGCCTTGAACTTGGAACAATCCTCTTGCCTCAGCCTCCCAAGTGGTAGGATTACTGACACATGGTTTTGCTTCTAAAAATTCTTCAAGATGCATGTGATGCACTTGGGAGGCTGAGGCAAGAGGATTACTGTGAGTTGGAGGCCAGCCTGGGCTACAAAGTGAGCTCAGGGCCAGCCTGAACTGCATAACGTGACCTTGTTTCAAAAAGACAAAGAAAAGATACATGTGATGGTGCACATGCAATAACCCCAGCGTTTGGGAGCCTGAGACAGGAGGATTCCCTTGAGTTCTAGGCCAGCCTGGGCTATATAGTGAGTTGAAGTCTGGCCTGGACTGCATAGTAAGATACTGTCTCAAAAAACCAAAAAAAAAAGAAAAAGAAAATTAAAAATTCTTCAAATAATCAGATCAATTATGCCAACATCATTTACTAAATAACCACCTCTTCTTTTTTTTTAATTTATTTTTTGTCTTTTTTAAACAGGGTCTCACTATGCAGTTCAGGCTGGCCTTGAGCTTACTTTGTAGCCCAGGCTGGTCTCAAACTCAAAACGATCCTCCTGCCTCAGCCTCCCAAGTGCTGGGATTACAGGCATGCACCACCACTCCCGGTGATAACCACCTTATCTGCACTGAGGTGAAATGCTACTTTTGTCACATACTGAGTTCCCATATACACTTGGATTCATTTCTGGTTTCTATTGCAGTCCACCAAATGGCTCTATTTATTTGCTGCTATGCTAAGACCATATTATATTTGCCAGACATAGTGGCACATGCCTGTAATCCCAGCACTCAGGAGGCTGAGGCAGGAGGATCTCTGTTAGTTCAAGAGCAGCCTGGGCTACAAAGTAAGTTCAAGGCCATCCTGCACTACATAGAGAGACCTTGTCTCAAAAAAGGAAAAGACCATACTATATTTACCGCAGTGGTGTTATGGTCAGGGGTTGGAGAGGAACCAAGAGCAAGGAGGGGCTGTCATTAGGCAGTTTTAGGTAACAGAGGTGGTGGCTCAGGCAGGGTGACAAGACAGAAATGAGGTTGAAGTCTGTTTTACATGCCAAAGCTACAGAGTACCCAGGCATGCTGGCTCACACTTGTAATCTCAGCGCTCTGGGAGGCTGAGGCAGGAGGGTTCTAAGTTTAAACTAGTCTTGGTAACATAGTGACTTAGCAAGACCCTGTCAATAAATAAGTAAATAAGAAAGGGCTGGGAATGTAGCTCAGCATGAAGGCCCTAGGTTCAATTTCCAGTACTCTTTGGGAGAAAGTGCAGTGGGCTCCATGCAAGTGCTGCTTGGAGGTGCCATTTGCCTGCAAATAGCAGCAGCTTAAACAAATAGACCGAGATGTGTTTCATGTAATAGAGTTTGAAAGTTGGTCAGCACGTGCTGTTCTTGGCTTAGCTGCCCTGGGTTGTCAGGGCTGGAATCTCTTACAGTTCTCAAACTTGGAGATGTAGCTGAGTGCTAGAGTGGCTGTGTCACGTGCACGACACCCTGGTGCCATTCCCAGACTTCCCTGTGGTAGCGCATGCCTGTAATCCCAGCAGGAAGGTCACCGCCAGCCTGGGCTCCATAGTGAGTTTAAAGCCAGCCTGAACTACATAGTGAAACCCTGTCTCAAAAGAGAGGGAGAGGGACAGGGACAGACTTCTACTGTTTCAAGGGCCAGAACTACCAGGTTCGTTGAACATACCATGGTTTCCTTTGTCTAGTGCATACAATATACCTGTCCCACAAACACTTTAAAATATGTCTGAGCCCTGGAGTAGGCAGGTGAGGTTTTCATGCAGTCCTCGCTAGTTGTTCCAAACCTTTTGGTCACAGTCTGTAAAATGACAACAGTGATGAGTAGCAGCTTCTGTCTTTTTTTTTTTTTTTTTGAGACAGGGTCTTGTTATACAGTCCAGGCTGGCCTTGAACTCACTGTGGAGATCAGGTTGGCTTCAAACTTACAGTGCTCCTCCTGCCTCAGCCTCCTGAGTGCTGCAATTAGAGGCATGTACCACCATGCCCGGCAGCCTTTGCCATTTGCTGGGGGGAGACTATCATAAATGTAAGATCAGGAATTTGGGCTTTCAGGTTTTGGGACTGATCTTGAAATGTTAGTTCTTTTACTCACTAGCTATAGGGTCCTAGGCAAGTATCTTACCCTAACTATACCTGCTTCTTCACGTGAAAGTGCCGATAATAGTAGTACCTGACTGGTAGGACTGATAGGTATTTAAATGAGTTAATATTTGCAAAGGGTTCAGAACAGTTCCTGGCACTCAGCACTGTGGAAGTGTTAGCTGGTATTATTTTTTTTCCTCAATCCATTATTTCTTTTCTTAAAGGTTACCGACCCAGTTGGCCCTTTTTATGTATTTACTTATGTATTCATTCATTTTTAATTTTTTGAGTCAACATCTTGCTATGTTGCCCAGGCTGACCCCGAACTCCTGGGCTCAAGCAATTCCCCTACCTCATGCCCTCCTAAGTAGCTAGAATTATAGGTGCCCCCACCCCAGCTCCCTGGTAATATTATTTCTTATGTTATTGCGAAGCCCTTGACCCACACAGTGCTGAAGTGCTCAATAAAAGTTCCTTTATATCATTAACACAGTAGAGACCACCCAGCCCCTTTGTGAGACATTGCCCAGAACTGCTCATGGTGGATATTTTCTGTGCTTGTAATGGTATGGGAAGGAGGAGTGGGGTCCCTTGTTGCCCTGCAGGCGGCGTGGCTGTGGAGCAGGAGAGCTGCGTCCCTGAGGCCAGGTTCTCACGGCGCTTCACCCTGTGTGCCCAGGCCCACTGCTGGAAGACTGGGACATAATCAGCCCCAAGGATGTCATTGGTTCGGACGTGCTGCTGGCTGAGAAACGCTCATCGCTGACCACAGCTGCCCTGCCCTTCACTCAGTCCATCCTCTCTCAGGTGGGTTCCGGGACCCCGGGGCCCGGCTGTGGTTGGAGGGCAAGGCCAACATGGAACCCCAGTCCCGCACACACTGGTTGGCTTTTGCCACTGGCCACTGGGCTGCCCTGTGAGCTCCTCCCTCCCTGCCCCCTTCCTTCCCAGGTGGGCCGCACCTTGTCTAAAGTCCAGCAGGTGCTGAGCTGGTCGTATGGGGAGGACGTGAAGCCCTTCAAGCCACCCCTGAGCGATGCTGAGTTTCACACATACTTGAACCATGAGGGCCAGCTGTCCCGCCCTGAGGAGCTGCGCCTGCGGATCTACCACGGTGGTGTGGAGCCCTCGCTAAGAAAGGTGAGCCCACATCCCTCGGTCCTGCCCGGCCTCACTGGTGCCTCCAGAGCCGCAGGTGGTGGAGACCTGGGGGAGAGACTCTCTTCCATGGGGGGCTTGGAGTCTGCAGCGGGAGGCAAACATGGCACAAGGAGGGCCCGGGCTGCAGGCGGCGGCTTACCTACAGACCCTCGGCCTTGTCCCGGTCTCACCTCCCTGGCAGGTGGTGTGGCGGTACCTGCTGAACGTGTACCCAGACGGGCTCACGGGCCGCGAGCGGATGGACTACATGAAACGCAAGAGTCATGAGTACGAGCAGCTCAAGAGCGAGTGGGCGCAGCGGGCGAGTCCCGAGGATCTGGAGTTCATCCGCAGCACGGTCCTCAAGGACGTCCTGCGCACCGACCGGGCCCACCCCTACTACGCGGGGCCTGAGGATGGCCCGCACCTGCGGGCGCTGCACGACCTGCTCACCACCTACGCGGTCACCCACCCACAGGTGTCCTACTGCCAGGGCATGAGCGACCTGGCCTCGCCCATCCTTGCCGTCATGGACCACGAGGGCCACGCCTTTGTCTGCTTTTGTGGCATCATGAAGCGCCTAGCTGCCAACTTCCATCCCGATGGCCGCGCCATGGCCACCAAGTTTGCCCACCTCAAGCTGCTACTGCGACACGCTGACCCTGACTTCTACCAGTACCTGCAAGAAGCAGGCGCTGATGACCTTTTCTTTTGTTACCGCTGGTTGCTGCTGGAGCTCAAGCGGGAGTTCGCCTTTGACGATGCCCTTCGCATGCTTGAGGTCACCTGGAGCTCACTGCCCCCTGATCCTCCTGAGCACGAAGTAGAGCTTGTTGGACCCCCCAGCCAAGTGGCAGACACTGGCTTCAGTGGCCACAGGGGGCGGCCTGTGCGACAGAGGCACATGCTGAGGCCTGCTGGCAGCGGGGGAGGCGGTACCTTTGAAGATGCGGTTGACCACTTAGCCAGGTCTGGCCAGGGGCCTGGTGGGGGAGGGCGTCTCCTGAGACAAGCCAGCCTGGATGGCCTCCAGCAACTCAGGGATAACATGGGCCCCCTGAGGAACCCTCGGGCCCAGCTGCCCCACCCTGCTGCCCTCATGAGTTCCAAGTCCCTCTCTGAGCCCTTGCTGAACTCCCCAGACCCACTGCTCTCCTGTTCCCGCCCTGATTCACCATCTTCCTCGTCTCCGCCATCCACCCCCGAGGCCTCCCCGACTGGTGACATGGCCATAGGATCCCCCCTAATGCGAGAGGTAGACTCCCCACGAGACCCTGGGAAGTCCCTGCCACCCCCAGCCCCAGCGGGCCTGCCCCCACCCCAGGAGTTTGGCCGGGGGAACCCATTCATGCTGTTCCTCTGCCTGGCCATCTTGCTGGAGCACCGTGACCACATTATGCGCAATGGGCTGGATTACAACGAGCTGGCCATGCACTTTGACCGCCTGGTGCGGAAACATCACCTGGGGCGGGTCCTGCGCCGGGCCAAGGCGCTCTTTGCTGATTACCTGCAGTCTGAGGTGTGGGACTCAGAGGAGGGCGCTGAAGCCACGGCCCCATCCTGATCAGGCTCCCTCCAGCCTGTCAGTCCTACGGGACTGTCCGTCCTCTGCCCTGAGGGCCTACACTTAAGACCCCATGTCCCTGCCTGCCAGCCCTAGACCTTTGGAGCCTGGGGCCCTCTTTCCCCAGGTTTGAGTGTGCGGGGCTCTGCTTTGGCACTGTCCCATGGAGGCCACAGCCTCTTTCTGTTTTGTTTCTAAACAACTATACTTTGCACACGTGAAGGTCACTGTGGTCTGTGTATTTCTCTGCCCCTCTCCCTGGACTTTGCTGTAGATGGAGTCCCCAGGGGATCTCTACCTCACTGGGCCGAGATACTTCAGCTGCGGGAGGGTGGCTCCTGATTCTTCAGTCGCAGCGAGAGTGGCTGCTGCGAGTCATTTGTGGAAAGTGAGCCTAGGTCAAGGGCTGCTCCAGGAAAGCCTTAGTGTGTGTCTTGGCCTATGTGTCCTCAAATAAGTGTCCATGTGATGGCTGTGAGTCTGATGTTTTTAGGCCAGACCCCACGGGGGTGGCAGAATGGGAAGAGAGTTACGAGTTCATTCCTAGCTCAAAAAAGGGCAAGATTTCACCCAGGGGTGGTGACACACAGCTGTAATTGCCAGAACTCGGGAGGTTGGGGCAGAAGTATTGGTGTGAATTCGAGGCCAGCCTGGGTTACATAATGAGTTCGAGACCAGTCCCAGCCACAGAGGAAGACCCTAACTCAGAAATGGCAGGGGTAATATTTATTATAAAGCAAGGAAGGGCCTGAGAAGTCAGGGCCGGCTTAGAGATGCCGGCCAGCCATCCTTGCCATTCCACACGTGACTGTTTCTAGGATCCAGACCTTGCTGTAGGAGGCTTATGCATCAATGCTGGCAGCCCTGAGCAAGGCCCTCAGCCTGCCATCTTGTCACTTGCTTTGGAGGCAGCTTGAGGGACTGTGGGCTTGCCATGCCTCAGGCCTAAACTGGTTTTTTGGGTACCTGAAGGTACCTGTCTTAGCCATTGTAGCAATAGAAATCACTTATTTGCCTTCTCCATCCCACAACTGTGGACAAACATCCAACACTGATAAAATTAAGGCCCTACTTATTTGGAGGATGCTGGTCACCAGCAGGCCCTTTTCCACACTTACCTTCTCAGAAGGGGGGGTTTTCTCCTAGGCCAGGTGCTGCAAAGCATAGGACCGGTGGCGGTGTGTGACCAGGGTTCAGATTGTGGTCTGGCCGAACCACCTTGTGGCCAGAAGTTGCTGCACTCAGCAACGCTGCCAGAGATTTGGGGGCATCAGGGCAACTGTCTTCTCGTATCTACCCCGGCTTGCCATAAAAAGCTGAGGAGTGAACATGTGAGGAGGTAAAAGATGGGGTCCTTTAAAGAAGTTAACCACTTGTGGCCATGGTGGTGCAGGCCTGTCATCCAGCCTTCTGGGAGACTGAGGCAGGAGGATCACAAGTTTGAGCCCCGCCTGGAGAATGGAGGGACTTAGTGATACCCAGTCTCACAAAAAGCACCCCTGAAAGCCCACTGTCATCCCTCCCCCTGGACTGCAGGGGAAGCTGACCCTCATGAGAGCTCAGTCACCTGAAGGACAGGACAAGAGCACTCTTCCAGGGTGCTCAAACACTGCCTGCCAAGTCCGTGTTATGGATAAAGTGTTCGCACTCCTCTGGGAACCAGTCCACCCCATGGCAGTATCTGGCTTTGTGGGGACCTAAAATGTCCCTTTTGCAGTCCTGCTGACACCCTGTAGGATATGTGAAGCTCAGCTATTTCAAGGACCGGCCAAGTAATTCTGCACACGGCAGCTTAGCACCTTCGAGAGCCACAGTCCTTTCTGTGAAGAGGAAGCTCCAATGGGCAGAAACCTCTACTATCCCTGGACACGTTAGCCCTCTGGTTCCCGCCAAGATGGCAGAGAGTGCAAGCTGCTGGTTCTTTTGCCTGAAACCGAGCTGGAGAAACTGCCGAGGGGAGCTCTGGAGACCTCCAGGAAGTGGCAGGCTGACCAGCTGGTGTGTACAGAGGGGCGGAGGGCAGATGGCCAGGGACAGCAAGTAGAAGGCAGGCTTGGGAAAGTTGCAGGTTCTGGCCCTTGCTCTTTCCTGTGTTGCCTGGGCAAAGCTGCTGCAGGAGTCTTCCAGACCCAGGTACAGGTGTCGAGTGGGAAGGCTTGTGCCAGGGCTGCAAGTGCCCCGCTGGGGTAAGAAATGGGCAGCCAGCGGCGAGCAGTCCTGCAGCTCTCCCTCCAGGCACCAGGGCTGGTAGATTACTCGAAAGGAGTAATCCTGGCACTGGAGAGGTGATCACCTCAGAAGGCACTGTCGGGAGTGGGGATGGCTTTTGTGGTACCTGGTACCACACAGGCTCTGGCTCATCTCCCACGTGGGTCTCTGTGCCTCTGCACTGCAGCCAAGTGAGCAGACGGGTCTGGCCTTAGCCTGTCCTCGCAACATTGTGCCAGCTAGCGAGCTGACAACTTCCAGGCAGTCTGAACTCACCACCTAAATCACTAGATACGGGCTGCATAGCTCCTGCCAGATGTGTGTTACCTACTGCCATGTAACAAATACCCCTGAGCTTAATAGCTTAAAACCACAGGATAGCCGGGTGTGGTGGTGTACACCTATAATCTCAGCACTCAGGAGGCTGAGGCAGGAGGATCATTGTGAGTTCAAGACCAGCCTGGGCTACAAAGTGAGCCAATGGCCAGCCTGAACTGCATAGTGAAACCCTGTCTCAAAAAGATCCCCCCCCAAAAAAAAAAAACCAACCCAAACAACACAGGATTTTACCACCTCACAGTTTTTGAAGGGCAGGAATCTCTTTTGTTTGTTGTTTGTTTGGGAATTGAACTCGACCTTGCACTTACCAGGCAGGCACTGTGCCTCTGAGCTATATCCCTGGCCCAAGGCCAGGAATCTTAACTGAGATCAAAATTGAACCCAGGGATACTCTACCAAGCTCTACTAAGCTACACTCCCAGACCTTTTTTTATTTTCTATTTTGAGACAGGCTTTCACTAAGTTGCCTAGGCTGGCTTTGAACTTGTGATCCCCCTGCCTCAGCCTCCCAGGTAACTGGGATTATAGGTGTGCACCACCATGCCCAGTTTAACTGGGTGGTTTTTTTGGTGCAGTTGCTCCTGAGGTTTCAGTCAAATTGTCAGCAGGATTGTAGTCAGCTGGAGCCCTGATGCAGCTAAAGGACCCACTTTTTTTTTTTTTTTGAGACAGGGTCCCACTGTGTAGTTCAGGCTGGCTTTGAATTCACAGCAATCCTCCTGCCTCAGCCTCCCGAGTGCTAGAATTATAGGCGTGCACCACCACACCCAGCCCTGATGGACCCACTTCTAATGTGGCTACTCAGGGCCACCAGAGGAGGTTTCAGTTTCAAAATTTGTGTTCTAGGCACGCAGGCAAGACCATAAGACAGAAGCCACAACGTCTATTACAATTTAATATCACAAATGACAGATGAAGCCAGACCTGGTGGCACATGCCTGTAACCCCAGCACTTGGTAGGCTAAGGCAAGACAATTGCTTCAAGGCCAGCCTGGGCTACAAAGTGAGTTCAAGGCCTGCCTGAACTACACAGCAAGACCATCTCAAAAAAAAGACAGACGATCATTTCTGCTGCATCTTATTGGTCACACAGACCAGTCCTATTACATGTCAGAGGCCTGCACAGGGGGCTGTACTAGACGCTGGCTGCCACATAATATCTGAAGCAGGAATATAAGGGTGGAGTAATGAAGAACTTTAAGATAACATCTGAATACACAGGAAAAAGGTATTTTATAAAGAGCTTCAAAATGTTAGGTATGAGTATGATGGAAAAAAGAAAAATATATATTGTAAGTGGAAAATATGAAATGAGATGCTATATGCACACCCATGTTTATAGTGGCACAGTTTGTCATAACTAAATCTTGGAAACTGCCCAAATGCCCATCAACCTAGGAACGCATAAAGATGTGGGTAGTTTTTTTAATACAGTGGAGTACTAGTCTGCCATAAAGAAGGATAAACCTGTGCCATTTCTAGGTAATTGGATGTAACTTGAGACCTTACTCTTAAGTGAAATAAATCTGACTCACATGTTTAAATACCGCATTGTTTCTCTGATGTGAGAAACCAAAAGTGTAAATAAGGACCAAAATGTATAATAGATACTGGGAAATGAGGAGGGGAAGAGGGGTTGAAGGGAGGGGAGGGGACTGGGAAAAAAAGCAAGATATATCATGTGCAGGTACAGATTCCCTATGATGAATGTGATCATTATGTCTATCTAAAATGTACCAATAAAAAAAAAAGAAATGAGACCCCACAACTAAGTCCTGAAGGCCTGGGGATGGGCGGCGCTCATTGGTGGAGCACACATGAGGCCTTGGGTTCTAACCCCCAGCACTGAAAGAAAATATGTTTAAAAAGTCCCATGCCCAAGTCCTGGTACAATAGTTACACAAAGATCTAAAATACAGAAACCTCAGCCAGGAATGGTGGTGCATGCCTATAATCCCAGCACTCAGGAGGCTGAGGCAGGAGGGTCGTTGTGAGTTCAAGACCAGCCTGGACTACAAAGTGAGCTCATGGCCAGTCTGAACTGCACAGGGAGACCCTGTCTCAAAAAGACAAAAAATAACATAAAATACAGAGACCTTCATGGGACTAAAACAAAGTCCAACGTGCACACGCACATGAGGAGCTAGAAATGTTAAAAATTAAAGGATGAATGAAAGATTTAACCGACTAGTAAAAAAGCTGCAGAAACCTGAGATGGCAGAAAGCTGAGATGGCCATCCCAAAATAAAATATAATTGAACACTGAGATTAAAAGGACAAAAAGTGACATTACTCATCAACAAGGTAGATAGGTCTTCCATAAACATATATTCCTAAGAGGCCCTGGATAACACATTTTTACATTTTTAATTTGTGGGGGAATTTTTGTTTTGAGGTTTTTTTTTTTTTTTTTTTGAGACAGGGTCTCCCTATGTAGCACAGGCTGACCTCAAACTCACAGTGATCTTCCTGTCTCAGCCCCCCGAGTGCTGGAATTACAGGTATGTACCGCCATGCCCAGTTTAATTTATTCATTTGTTCATTTTTATTCTCTAGTGCACATATTCCCTTCTTTATATCATTTCTTCCATGCCTCAAGCTTTTAGTTTTGTTTCTTTGCCCTTTTTCCAACTTCTGGAGTTCAAGATTTGGATGATCTATTTGTATTTTTTTTTTTGAG